GTACACAAACACTGCATATACTTACTAGTTGTATGGTACACAAACACTACATATACTTACTAGTTGTATGGTACACAAACACTGCATATACTTACTAGTTATATGGTACACAAACACTACATATACTTACTAGTTGTATGGTACATAAACACTACATATACTAACTAGTTATATGGTACATAAACACTACATATACTAACTAGTTGTATGGTACATAAACACTACATATACTTACTAGTTGTATGGTACACAAACACTACATATACTTACTAGTTGTATGGTACACAAACACTGCATATACTTACTAGTTATATGGTACACAAACACTACATATACTTACTAGTTGTGTGATACACAAACACTGCATATACTTACTAGTTATATGGTACACAAACACTGCATATACTTACTAGTTGTATGGTACACGAACACTACATATACTTACTAGTTGTATGGTACACAAACACTGCATATACTTACTAGTTGTATGGTACACAAACACTGCATATACTTACTAGTTGTATGGTACATAAACACTGCATATACTTACTAGTTGTATGGTACACAAACACTGCATATACTTACTAGTTGTATGGTACATAAACACTACATATACTTACTAGTTGTAGTATATGTAGTGTTTGTGTACCAAAGTATATGTAGTGTTTATGTACCATATAACTAGTAAGAGGTTTGTAGTAGTAGGTGAAATGTGTGACACTAAGGTGTATAGTAGTAGGTGAAATGTGTGACACTAAGGTTTGTAGTAGTAGGTGAAATGTGTGACACTGAGGTGTATAGTAGTAGATGAAATGTGTGACACTGAGGTTTGTAGTAGTAGATGTGTGACACTAAGGTATGTAGTAGTAGATGTGTGACACTATGGTGTGTAGTAGATGATATGTGAAACACTACGGTGTTTGGTAGTAGATGAGATGTGAGACACTAAGGTGTTTAGTAGATGGAATGTGTGACACTAAGGTGTATAGTAGTATATGAAATGTGTGACACTAAGGTGTGTAGTAGTAGTGGGTGAAATGTGTGACACTAAGGTGTATAGTAGTAGATGAGATGTGTGACACTTAGGTGTAACAACAAGTGACTTATTCCTGGGGTATTTCGGTAGTAAACACTAAAAATCACACGAACGGAATATTTTCTGCGGATAATAATGAAACAAACCTACATAAAAGTTGGATAAATTGAGGAATTTTCACGTAACAATGAAAGACGTATTATTAGTGTATGTAACATATCTGTGCAACAAAAGGACCATTATATAAATGTTCTGTGAAACAGTGAGGAACATCGTGTAACCCGCGACGTTTCTATGCAACAGTAAAAGGCACTGTGTAACTGATCGAATAACAAAATATATTATATTGATGGTAAATATTCTGAGGCATGTCTGTGAAACAATTAATACATAATCACTAAACATAATCTGTAACATTTCTAAGTAACAATGAAAGACATTATATAACTAATATAACATTTCTGATCGTAATAACTGGCATGTCTAACATGTTACATTTTTCTGCAAATACGAAAGACAGTATATGACTGGCTTAATAACTCATTGCTTCTCTTGTAACAAGTAGTTACAAATGTACATATCGTGTACCACACAACGTATGATTAAAATACGACTTGTAGTGTCACACATTTCACC